AGGCGGAGTTTGTAATTCACCTGTATAGGCCTATATCTCCTGATGAGACTGATTAAGTCTATGGACTTACAACTCAAATTCAACATTTTGTTTCCTTTCAATTCATTTTAATAGAAGCTCTTAGGATCACCAACTTCATTGATGACGAGTTGGATCCATTGTTAGCATGTGCGTTGGTTAAATTTTTGGCTTCTATATTCCTCCCAGTTGTTGTTGGAGTCTTGAATTTCATCCGCTCCTACAAGGGGTCATAATTCTCCCCCTATTTGTGAGTCCCGACATCAGCCCCTTGATATACTGGTACTCAGAATAGATTCTGGATATATCCAAAGTTTTCACTGCTTAGTTGGATTGCTAGCAGCATCGGTGATTATTGTATACCTTCAGTGGCTGTAGGGGCTTGGTTCTAAGAATTTCTAGACATGTGGTAGCCTTAACCATGGGTCCAGGAGCTCTGCAGGTCCATGAGTCACAATTGGTCATTCAGTTCACATCTTCCCCAACCTGTAGAGTTTCTGTCTCCCACAGTTCATCAGGATTTGGAACTTAGTTCTAGGGTTATCTGAATTTGGTTGGTCTGGGAGTAGTGAGAGAGTTGGGCTAGTTTTTCAGAGTTTTTATTCCAGTTAGTAGTTGGGCTTATGCAGACAGGAGATTGGTGTCCAGTCATTCATCTTCCTTGTCTATTATCAATGCCTAGATTCTTCAAGGTTCACAACTCACTCATTCCTCAGTCTGTGTTAATTTTTTACTGGGATTGTAGATGTCCAGCTTCTTTATAGTTGGCTCCTATTTTGCCTTAGTGGTGGAGTCCCAATGTTCTTGTACTGTAATTCCTGGTTTTTCCCTTCAGACTCACATAGGCTTTGTATGGGTCCTGCTGTATCGTAAGAGTTTTTTTTCTTGTCCTCTTCACTTCATCATACTGTGCACACACCATTCCAGGGACAACTGGTTACTACTAGCACCATCTCATCAATTGTTAGGCCTTCACATCTTGATTCTACTTTGAGATACAACCCAGGCAGGCTTCCCTTTCAGGACTGCAACATCTGTTCTTGCTCCAGTTCAATATGTCATCAGTCTGGGTATTTTTTGTTTTTCATCTCATCTCTCAGTTGGGCTCAGCTGTCTCCCAGCTTGATCAATGACATAGAATAGGATGCCACACTCTTACTCACCACTCCTTCTCCCACTGCACGGGAATGTGGGCATCACTGAAATCCTTTGTGCCTTTGGGATAAGAACATAAGTGATCCTTTTATTGGTCTTTAAGCAACCAAGGATTATACACAACTATTTACCGGTTTCCACAGTTTTATTGGAGGAGATTATACTTCTATTTCGAGGGGTTGTTAAGTTGGGGCCACTACTACAATTTGGATTCCTCTACTGCCACCTTGGCCAAAGTTCTATTCTATTCATGAATGCCTTGCTTCAGGGATGGGGTGCATATACCAACACTCAGAAATTCCAGAGTCTATGAGTTATTTGAAGACACTGATCAGATGTGGAAAGCTTTTAAGGATATATTTTTAATATTCAAGATAAACTATTCCTTATAGAAAGAAACTGGTGGCTGCAAGTAAAAAAATCAGGTTGACTCACAAAGGGTATAAGAGATAAAATTAAAGAAAAACATCACAAATGTAAGAAATTTAAATTGACTGGTAAGACAGGGGATTTAGAACATTATAGAAGATCAAGAAAGTTAGTCAAACAGGAAATTAGGACATCAAAAAGGATGTATGAAAACAGGTTGGCTGAAAATGTAAAAATTAACAGTATGGATTTCTTTAAGTAAATTAAGGGTAAACAAAATATTAGGATGGGGGTAGGACCTTTGGGGATGATAAAGGAAGGCTTGTGTCTGATGATTATTAGATAGCTGGGTTATTAAATTCTGCTTTTTCTTCAGTTTTTATAATGAAGAATTAAGTAGTTTTCCTCATCTTGAACAGTTGATAGATGAAAAGAAGATCGGACAATATGTTTGCATTAAACCTGAGCTTGTTAAGAAAAAATTGAGAAGATTAGAAAATGATGAGGCTTCTGGGCTAGATAACATTTCCACAAAGGTTTTGAAGGAGGTTAAAGTGTTTGAGTAGTTGGCAGGTGCCAAAGGATTGGAAGTTAGATACTGTCACTCCTCTATTTAAGGGAGGAAATAAGAATTGTCCCAATATTTGTAGGCCTATTAGTCTTCCAACAATTGTTGGAAATGTTTTGTAAAGTCTGATAAAAGATGCTTTCCAAAGTCATTTAACAAAGTTTAGAATTTTATTAGATAGTCAACATGATTTTATTATGGGAAAATCTTTTGACATTCTTTGGAAAGGTTACTACTTATGTAGATCATGGTAAGGGTGTATATTTGTTGTATCTGAATTTTCAGAAAGCATTTGACAAGGTGCCACATAAAAGGCTTGTATAGGTGTGGGAGAAGTTAGCAAATTGGATAGAAGAGTGGCTGGATGGAAAAAAGCAGAGGGTTGTTACAAATGGAGTTCAGTCAAACTGGATTAATATCACAAGTAGAATGCCTCAGAGCTCAGTCTTAGGACCTTTACTTGTTTTGATTTACATTAGTAACATAGAAGAAAGAATGGTCAATAGATTACTTATATTTACAGATGATATTATGGTCTTGAGTGTTGTTAGCTCTGAAGAGGATGCTGCTGATTTAGAAATGGATTTAGATCATTTAGTGAGTTGGGCAAATAAATGGCAAATGGGTTTTTAAGTATAATAAATGCAAGATAATGCATGTGGGTTATCATAATTTGAATTATAAGTATAATTTAGATGGGAATAACCATGTCGTGAAAGTAAGGGATCTTGTTGTAATGGTTGATCAGTCTCTTAAACTATCGAAGCAGGTATTTGAGGTAATTGAAATTGTAAAGGGAATTGATAATGTTGATGCATCATCTATTTTCATATTTAAAGGTAATAATAGTAGGACTAGGGGACAATTTTGGCAAGGGCTATGATGTGGCAGACAGTGTGAATAGGATAGTGGGTTCTCTTATGCTGCCATGTACTTCAGCTGCAATCCTTTCATATAGCCCCTCTGGAAATTGTTAAACATGCTGCAGAAGAAAACATATTTAGATCAACTCAACAAATACTTTATACAAATTAAACTTTTATTTAAGAAGAAAACATATTTAGACAAGCTGTACTGCAACTAATAAATATATAAGCAACTTTTGGCAATTCCAATTCATTCACATTGTTCTTCAAGATGTTGAGACAAGCAAGATGATTCATGCAAGACTGTGACATGGTGAGGTACAAATAACTTTTCAGCTTCCTTAGGGCAGAAAATGATGTTTCAGCAGTACATGTAGATGCTGGAGCCACCATATAGGTTTTGAGCATGGTGAACACTGATGGACAAATGTCCTTAAGCACAGGATTTTTGCACATTGCTTCACAAAAATAATGTACAGAAATCTTTGATGAATCTGGAAAAATTCTTGGTGTTGACACTGTGCGCTTGTTCAGTTTCATATTTCACACAGTCCTTTGATTTTAACAGCACCAGGTCATCTTGATAAATGTTGTACATTTCATCAGTATCAGTGGCAGATTGCTTGCATAGAGATTTCTTGATCATTGCTAATTTATACAAATCATCTGTAGGATATCTTACAGAAATGGATTCAACAGCAACTGCAAACACTAATTGGTAAATACTTTCAAATTCAGCCTCTGCAGTTTGTGTGATATTTGCACCTCTGTGCAATGCAGGCTTTTCAATGCCTATAGAATTAGAAGTGGATAAAATGGATTTGTAAAACTGTGTTGCAATGCTAGCATCATTAGCATCCTGCAGAAGAAAAGCTATGCCTTCAATTTTTGAGCAGACAAACTGCACTGAAACTTTAGATGACTGTATTGGAATGTGCACTAGCTTAATTATTGTAAACAGCTTTTCCAACAGCTTCAGGTCAAAAAACACTCTGAACTTCTGAATGCTATAAATAAACCCATGAGCTTGCACACACAATACCATTACAGGCTTCCTCTAGCCAATCCAACAAACAGCCATATTCAGATACAAATGACATCACAGCATTGCCTTGCAAAATCCAGTGTTTTGGACACGGAGGTCATAAAGTGGCAGAAGGGACATTATCCATTGTAAAGGCTTTGTGTGATGCCTTTCTATGAGGGGAATATTTAATAATTGCAACCACCTGTCATAGAACTTCCTGTGATTCCACCAAGTACAAATGAGAATTTATGGTATCTTGAACTATCAAGTTCAGTCCATGACCAGAACAGTAGCTGAAGGTACATTTTGGATATTCATTTAAAATTTGTGTTGCTACTCCACTTTTTCAATTTGTCACTGTACTGGCTCCATCATAACTCTGTGCACGAGCTTGATTAATACCTAATCTATATGATAATAGTCCTTGTTTGATGATATTTGTAATATTTTCAGCTGTCGCATTACTGAGAACAGAGAATTCTATCCATCTCTCATATACATTTTAATCATCATTGATATATCTCACACACAAGCTTAATTGCTCCTGATATGCAGAGTCGCAAACTTCATCACATATGATGACAAAAAAAAAACAGTTGTTGTTAACAGCTTCCACAACATTATGGAGTACATTATGAGCTATGAGTTCCATGATCTCATTCTGTGAGACCCAGCTGCAATACTTATTACAGATGTGAAGAAAAATATGTATTAAACTGGGGGTTGTACTTTGATACCAGCTTCAAGAATTCCATAAAGTTACCTTCATGAGCCTCGGTGCCCCTGTATGCCAAACCTTGCTTTCCCAAATATATAATAGCATAAAAAATCACTGCAAATGCTTTCCTACTTGCCTTCCATCTTTCAGTTTCTTTGCTGCTAACATACTTTGCTGTTGCATCTTGTGTTTTGATATTGAATTTTGTAGTCATGCATTCTCTATAACTTTGACTTCTGTCACACTTTTGTAGACCATCCTTGCCCTTTCTGACATCATCCCATCCTATTACCTATGGAGATGTGGAAGCTGAAGAATGCTGTGATGGAAGTAAGCGATTACTTTGCACAGCCCATGTACATACATGGCAAATTATATCATTCATATCACACCTGTATTCAACCCATGGGAAGAGAGTTTTCCAACTTTCCTGGAAAGTTGGTCCTTTTTGCTGTTAATGTTTTTGTTACTACTGTGGATTTTAATTCTGTGCGTTGTTATGTTGGTACTGACAGGTTCACTGATACTGAAGTAGATGTTGATACTGACAGGTTCATTGTTACTAAAGTGGATGTTGTTTCTGAACATAACACCAATATTGATGGGTTTATTATTACTGAAGTGGATGTTGATTCTGCACTTAGTTAAACACATGTCTCGGGAGGTCTAAGCTTTATAGTAGGTATATATTTGAACTCTAGGTCTTTAGTACAGTTTGTAAATTGCTAAAAAAATTGTATAATATTCATCGTGGTAATTATTAATTGTGGTTTAATATCCTACATGGTACCTATAAGTCATTGCACTTTTACTTAATGTTGTCTAACCAACAATGTTTTCTGGTATGGTCTTGGAGTGTTTTCAACTGCTATTGTAATAAATATTAAAAAAACACATGAACAGAGCTCAAGCAAATTTAGGAGTATAAAAACAAAAAACCATTGATTACACTCTTCCAAAGTAGCTGATTTACATAAAATGTAAAGAGAATCATCAACCTTGTTTAAGATTTGTCGAGTCATTGCATTGTAATATTACATATATGGAATCATATGACAGTATAATAATTGATCTATAGAAGGAAAGAACTCACCTTATCCTTAACAGATAGGGAGAGTAAAATGACAATAAATGGCTTTCTTTGAGTGATATAACATATGGTTAATAATTATATTTGTATGTATCAAATCAGGTACAAATGAGGATATGTAGGCATAACTGTATAAGTACAATTATATTTATACATAAAACAATTTTGTGTATGCATGTCAGTAAGTCACCAATTTAATATACAAAATGACATTCCCATTGCCTGATTCATGTGTGTGTATATATACACTATGTATTTCCTAATTGCTGAGTACATAGTAAAGTGTTTTCACAAATGAGTCCTGATAATCATCGTGCCATGCATTACATTTATAGGCACTACATGACATTTGCAACTGATTATATATATAGCATTGGTAACTATATGATACAGCTCAAATAAAAAAACCACTAAACTGTCAAACCTGTATTATGCAAATATTATGAATTGAATACATACAGATGGTATTATTCTGACTGCTTTTTGTTGATTACTCTATATAATTATTTGTTGATTACTCTATGATTATATGGTATAAAAATATAAAGCAGATGATCCAAAACATTTGTCAATAATAATGATTTACCCTTCATTTTCCATAAAAGCTGTTTAAATTCTATAAAATGTACTTAGAGTGTAGGACACAAATATTACGCTTGAGTCTTTCATAAGTATGCATGGACATATGTAACTATCTGAATGTTTAGTGAAATATATGCTGTGTTTAAAAAATCACTTTCATATTTGAAATTAAAGCTTTGTCTGTATAAAGAAATTTTATTCAAATCAAAATAATCAAATAATAAACCTAGAAACTTTTTTAAAAGAAATAACAATAGTTGTATGTTGTCTTGGGTGATAAATAACGTCAAGTTTGCATGCTAAGGATTAGTGATCAGACTAATCTTGAGCCAATCAAGAGAATTTTTTATACAAATGTCTAAGTTACTCGGGAAAAACAATTTACAATTTTCTCATAAACTAGACCATCCAGGTGCAGATAAGTAGTATTTCCAGTGTGTAGTATAATACACTGTTTAAAATTACCTACATTGATGCATAGGCAATCTTTTAACCTTCCACTTATGAAGCAATTTTGAGGTTTAACTCCTGCTGCCCTTCCCAGGTTCAGAAAAAAGTTTGGTGGGTATGCCTCAGTTGATTCTTATGCAACCGGTGGGGCACCTCATGGGATTCTTTGACTTCAATAGTTCTCCTTTCCCTTCCTCCATTCTAATATTTGTATGGGTGGCTGGACTAATCTCCTGTCACCTATGCTTCACCCTCTTGTGGGGAATCATCCCAAATCATCTATTTTACATCTGACACATGGATCTAGGATGAGTTCTCTCTCCATATCTACATGCTTCTCCTTCTGGTACACTGTTGAGCATGATACTATTATTACCACTCCAAGTGGTTTATTTAGTTATGTTCCATTACAACAACTTGTTTTTTCCTAAATTAACCACCTAAATTCTGAACCTTTCCTCTTGTGCCAATTCTCAAAGGGTTGATCTCCTTGTCTGCCATGTACCGGGTACTATGACTAGGTCATGTGCGGACTGCTTCTTTTGACCAGACCATTTTCTGTCTGCAATATGTCTTTTTCTCCTCTATTTCTATTGGGTTTTCTCTAATTGTTGCCTAGTCGACCTTTTCGCTTTTATGCTTTTTTTGCTGATCATCTGTTTTCCATCCCTCAGCCCTGGCTAACCCTGCCTTCTGCCGGGTCTGGTCTTTTACTTGACATAATGCTCACCTACCCTTCAGGCTCTCAATTGGGTCCTAGCCATTATAAAGACACTCATTGTCATTTCCTCTTGGTGGTACCCTCTAGCTGGTTTAATGATGGTTGTCTGGCATGTCAACCCAACCCCCTGCCAGTTATACACTATTAATTTTACATCTACCATTTCTCTTCCATCACTGGATTTTCCACATTTATGTTTTGTTAGTCTTGTCCTTCACCCATAGAACCAGACATTACTATCTGGTCATCCTTTCCCTTTCTGGGTGTCATTCTAACTGGTCATCCTTTCCCTTTCTGGGTGTCATTCTACCTGGTCTTCTATCCCTTTCCCAAGCTGTTCAACATGGTTGAGATCTCTATGCCTTTGCCAATTATTATATGACCTTGTCCTCACCATTTTACCTGCTTGATACTGCAAGGTGTTTCCTCCCCAGATCTCTATACCTTGTTCATTTCTTTCCTTATCTTTACACACACTTGCCCTGTTCCTGTGTACAACTGGTCATTAATGCTCATTAGGACCCAGACACACTTTCCACTCTGTTTATGTCATTCGTTTTTCCTTAGCCCATACCTCTCACTTACAGGTTTTCTGTCTTCCACTCTTCATTGCTGGGAATCCTCTTCTTCCATGGAAAAGTCTCCTTCTACCCTTATTAATACAGTCTGCCACATTTTTTGTTTGGTCTCCTCCTCATTAGAGGTTGTTGCTCACAGATGGTCCACATTTTTTTCCCATCCGATTCATCACCTCTCTCATTCTTTTGCCACTTGTCTCCCATGCTCTTCACAGTCTGGCTGTTTTCTTTCCCAGGGGTTACTGCCTGCCTCTGTTCACCATCCTACAATATACCTGCTGTTTTTGGTGGGTAAGTACATTCCCCTTTGCTTCCAGGATCCCTCCAGGTGGCTGGGGGTTCCTCAAAGAGTACACCTATTTCCCAAAATTCTGCATTGAGCCAGGTTAATGGAAAGTGCACATACCATCTGCTCTGGCTCCATATATGCCATTGATGAGATGGGTTGTTCTGCAGGACAACTTGAGGTATCCTTGTGGTATATTCTGTTATCTGTCTACCATCTGATTCAGAATGTACCTACTCCATGGACTATCATGAAAAAAAGCCAGCACCAGGGGGTGCTCTGCCTGCTTGCTGGCTTTTCAAAATAGGTTTATTAGGTTACCCATTGCTCTGTCTCCAGTAAAAAAACGTTTCTGGCAGGTGTCCTATAGAGATCTGGGCATTTGCTTGGATCTTCCCACTGTGAATTCCTCCCTTTTTTTCTTAAATTGAAGCAAGGGAGACCTTTACCACTTAATAGTTTCTAGCCACAGGGATGGTGGACAATGGAAAACCTTCACTGATTGGGACCTAATAGCTGGTCACTGAACAAATGGTGCTAATTGATGGGAAGTGGTGTGATGGGAACACTGTCAATATAGTGCAGGTTATACCCCTCTTATAATTATACTCGTAACATGCCAGCATTCCTTATCCTACTGCCACCTGAATGTTGGTTCCCAGGTGGTCTGGTATTGGATTGGTGTAGGACCAGCCAACACGAGTCCTCGCAAATGTGGTTGGTAGGAGTCCTCCTTCCTACCATTAACCAGATGTCAGTTTCCTTGGTGGTCTGGTTTTGAACTTGAGTTGACCAAACGAATACCTGCAATCACCTCCTGTTCAGTTGAGCTGAGGTAAGCATTTCCTAATAAATCGTGCCCTCCTCCTGCAGTGAATGACCATTCTGTTGAATCATTGCACATACTAGAATTGTACAATGTATGGCATGTATCCTGTGCACTCCTTCTGCAGCTGGTGTTGGTCCAAGAGTCTGACTATACAGTTAAGAACAACATAAACTAATAATTCCCGTGCCTTCCTCTCACAGCTGGTCTCAGTCCAAGAAGTCTAACAGTAGAGTTGAGGTGAGCACTTGGTATGGTCTGAATGCACTCCAAATGTGCTACAAATATTGGCTTTCAACCTTTTATGTGCAAGTACTCAGATGGCCTTATTTTTATTCTGCCCCTACTCATGATACATGGAGCTTGTTTGCTTTTTCCTCTCTTCCACCCTCAGTGAAGAACATACCCTGGAAGAATTGATATGCTGCTTACCTGCCAACAGGTGTCACACTCCGTGTGTTTCTTTGGGTGCTTTTTGTATTTTTGTACTGGACTCTTCACCATATCAGTGTGGAATTCTAGCTTTCTATGTGGAGGAGAGGTGTGTATCACTTTGGAAATTAACATTTTTCTTACCTGAAAATATATATCTGATAGATACTCGTCTCCTCACACACTTCATTGCGTTTTCATAGAATGAAGATCATGAGTGCAAAAGCAGAGAGAAAGCTGGTGTGCAGGAAGGCTGTGTCACCCTCCTATTGGTGGAGGGCTTTTGCTGCATAATAATGTCATTATGCAGTAGCCAGTAAGTTTTTTGTTTACAAAAAAGCAGATTTTTTAATAAAATATTTCTA